TCTTGTATTAGCCAGTTAGACTTTCAACATATGACAAAGTTGTAGTGAATCTTCACCAGGATATAATTTGTTATATCTAGAGGAGTGGAGGCCAAGATTGTATCTCGGCTTTATTGGTGCTCAGACTGTTCACCCTTTGAGTTGTTGACGGTCATAGATTATAATTCGTGATTGTTTGTTCCCCATTCGTAGAATCCATATTGGTTTTCATAATTTCATCCTTTTTTTTTTTTTGAAAAGTAAGAAAAATTAAACATTAAAGTATTGAGTTCCATACTTCTATATGCCTTTTCTCTCTAACTTAATATTCTTACCGTATTGTAAACTATTGAACTGTTAACTCTTTTATTATCGGGATTGCAACTCTTTGCATCAGAAAGGCAAGTACCAGCATTTTTTTTTTTTTTTTTTTTTTTTTGTCTTACGCGATAGATGGTTAGGTGCTAAAATGGAAGAATACAACGATGACAAAATCAGCAGTTATTATATTAAATACAGGTGAACAATTGATCTCATTACCATATAGCAAAATAATAACAACAACAAAAAGAAATTGCAATTGAGATGGAAGAAGTAAAGTAGAGCAAATTACCATATAGCTAAATAATTAGCAAATAGGCAGGCATCATCAGTGATATAATAATCTTTGATAGAAATGGGAGTGACAACTATGTCTTGACAATTATTGTGGTGGATTTTGACAAGATCTATTCTTTAACGCTTTCAGAGGAGGAGCTGACTTCCATCCTTCAACTTGATTGTTCAAACTTAAATACGGAGCTGACAAGATCAGTCCCGAATTGTACGCACAACCTGAAAATGTTACATTATCCCAATCGATTAAAAAGCAGAATCTTGACAATTCTAAAATGAATTCAAATGAATCTGGTCAAATTTAAAACAACTTACACTTGGTACTAATAATAAAAAATAGGAAAAATTACGAGTAAGGTTCTTTTAAGGAGTCGACCTTGTGAGAAGGTCCTTTTATGAACAAAGTGGTGAGGAAGGTCCTTTTATGACGTTTGGGTTGCGTGGAGGGTCCTTTGACCAAACTCTGGCATTGACTTCCGTTTTCCAGCCAAAAAAAAAGCACATGACCTCTTAAATCTGATTTTTTTAATTTTTTTTTTCCCTTTTCCCTCTTCTTCCACAATTTCCCCTTTTCCCTTTCAAAGACAAAAAGTTAACATTATTTACAAAAATGCTACAGTACAGTTTGTATTTGCAAACTTATACAAGATATAAGGATATGTACCAAGATTTCTCCATAAGAATAAGGATTTTTTTTACCATTATCACCTACAATTGTTGTTATTATAGGAATTACCGCCTACTGTTTTTTTTTTAATTGAAATTTACCACCTACATTTTTCCATAACACTAAAACTTCCCACCACTTTGACCAACCCCTCAAAGATGACGTCATCCTTGTTATTATTCTCCGTTTTCTTTCTTCTTCTCTCGATTCTCACTTCCCTTTTCTTCTATTTCCATATAAAATGAGGCATAGCTTGAAATTGAATTGCTAGAAACAAAATTTAGGTTTTAATAATAATTTCTCTTGCTTCACCACTCCAATGATTCCATGAAAAAAGGTATGTTTGCTTTAATTACTGGGTTTAGGTACTTATTTTGGGGGTTTTCAATTGAATTAAGGATTTAGGGTTTTCACTTTTAGAATTTAATTATCGATTTTGAAATTTGAAACCCTAATTTTTTATTTTAGCAATTGGATTTTAGTATTTGTGCAAAATTAAAAAGGAGATGAAGAAGAAAGACTGAATATCGATAGAGGAAGGAGGGAAAATGAGGGAAGATGAGGGGAAGACCGTTTTTGGGCCCCACTATAACGTCATCTTTCAAAATGGTGGGAAGTTTTAGCGTTTTGAAAAATTGTAGGTGGTAAATTTCAAAAAATAAAAAAATAAAATTGTAGGTGGTAATTTCTAAAACAACAACAATTATAGGTGGTAATTGTCAAAAAAATCCTAAGAATAAGCCATTAAAAAGTGAGATTCGAAAATCGCGGAAACTAGATTATTTGATCATGGTGCGCCATGCAGAGTATTGAAAACAAGCTAATATTCATATATATATGGATCGTGGGACGATATACATACATGATAGTGCAAAGAGGTGGAGCACTTATTCATGAATAATTTCTGAATCATGAGTCATGGCTGTTATGGAACCTCATTTAACTAATCTAAGCGATTAATGTGGTAATATTATAATCTTAGATTGATCGATCGCCGCTCCACATCAATTATTAATTATTCTATATTATACATTTTTCATTACTCAAAAAAAAATAAAAATAAAATAAAATAAAATAAAATCCTTAACTCTATAAATATGTCGATAGTCTGGTGAAGAACTCATCAACAAGAATTAAACTTGCAAATCTTGAGTAACGAGTTGTTCTTTGAGTAAGTACGTAGTGTTATAATTAATCAACTACGACTTTACTCATTTGGTAAAGCTTTTACTTTTTTTTTTCCCCTTTTCTTTCCATCATATCATGCATCTAAATTATCTCTTTTAGTACTCCCTTTTTTCACTACTCTTTCTAATTTTATTTTATTATTTTACAATAAACCACTTGTTATCATATTGATGATATATTGTAATCAAATGTAATTTTTATAAATCCTATTTTTTTTAATGCATATTTAAGCCCTACCCTATAAGACTTATTTTCCAGTTGTTCATCATAGTTATTCTAATTCAGCTTCATAATTCACTTTATTAACCGTTTTGTTTCATTTTGTTTGTCTCATTTACATTATTATTATTATTATTATTATTATTATTATTATTATTATTATTATTATTATTAGTTTTTATTGTTTTATTTTCTTTGATGAATTTTTGTTGTTGTTATTAATTATTTACTTATATAATTTAGTTTTTATTTTAATTCATAATAGTTTAATCTTGCAAAAGAACAAGCTACAACATACCTATATATTTGCTTTGTCTTTTTTTTTTTTTCCTTGCAACAATAATTCTCATTTCACATTTGTTAATGCATTATTTCAATCACTAAGATTTTTAATTACCAATACGTAAAACTTATTTCATAAAAAATGATATTATGTACGAAAGTTTATATAAATTGAGAAAAATGATATTATGTAGGAAAGTTTATATAAGTTGAGACGAATTTAACAAGAATCCACATGATTATATTTTTACTTTACAATGAAAGATCAAAGTCTTTTAATGAAGTCTTATTTGGTAGTTTCTTACAACATTTTTTTATTAGTTAGTTTCTCATAGATTCTGAGTTTTATTAGGTATTTTGTGACAAAAAATTCATTATCTGATAATCTGAAATATTTCAGGTAGACTTGACCCCAAATAAATCCGCTGTTGACTATGGAAACTACTGTGGACCAAAACTCAGCCACAATCTTGTCACTATGGCATTGCATATTCGCGGTTTCAGCAAACAAGGATGCGAAGAAAGGAGAGCCGCTGAAGCAGGAAAATGCGCAGGCATTGATAGACATCTACCCTCACATGAAAAATCTGCGTTTGGCGAATCACAGGATCGACAACCCGGCTTTGATTAGCATCCCTGAAATAGCAAAACCCTTCAATGCTATCTTCTCTGGAATGTCGAAAGAGAAATGGGTCGAAGAGTTTTGCTCGTTTATGCGAGAAGTAGTTACTATGCGAGATGAACTCAAGGGTCTTAAGGAGCGCCTTCATAGCATCGACTTAAGCAATCCTAGTACTTTGTTAAATGATAACAAACCCAAAGATATAATCACATTACTTACTCTTCACTATATTGATTACATACGGATATCGGGATATAATATTATGTTAAGCTCAGTACTCTCCACCTCATAAAAGTAATAGTCGTATTGAGTAAAGAAAAAAATATAAAAAATCCGTCACCTTATATAAATTATAATAAGTAAAATTAAATTAAGTTTAGTAAAATGATTTATTTTAACAAAAATAAATTCAATTCGATGAAAATCAGTTTGATCATTAGAAATTTGTAACTTTAAAGAACAAATATAATAATAAATTAGTAAAAATAAGTTTTAATAAAAGCAATTTTTTTTTTTGAAACAAATAACTTAAGTTAATTTAAATAATTAGGTGTATTATTAGAGAGAGGAAAAAAAAAAACAACAAAAAACTCTCGCCTCTCCTCTCCTCTAGGGTTTTTCCAAATTTTTGGCCGTTTAAGCCGGAAATAGTCAAATTTCTTTGGAAATTAGACTATATATTTCGGACCCTTTTCGTTCCCTTAATTTTCTTCAGTTTTGCAATTTAGGTTTCAATAAATCTACACGAGTAATGTAGATATTCGTCCGTCTCCCTATGGTAGAGTCGTTACTTTTTGTTAGTTTAGTTGTTTGTGTATGTTTAGGGTTTGTTTGTGTATTAGAGTTAATAAAAAAGGTAATCATCTTTTGACATATTATCAATTCGTTGGTAAAGAATTGTTCGGGATTGCAACGGTTGTCAAGTTTTCAAATGCGTTCAAGTGAATTAGATGAAAATCATCCTTACCGCTACAACAAATCGTTAGACCGTCTCTCCTGAAAGGTTGTATATTTCAGCGATGCGTGCGAGAGATGTACTACAATGCAAGATCTATTTAACGATCGTAGCTTTGATTAAGAAACTCTAATTTGATTCAATTTTATGTATTTGTTAATTTAAATTTCATTTGTAGATGTCGTATGACTTTTTATAAATGAATTCATTTGTTTCAAAAAAAAAAATATTTAAAATTTTCAGTAAAAATATGTACTATAAGTTTTGTAAATAAATATATTTAGTAAAAGCATGCAATACAAATTTAGCAAAACTAATTTTAGTCCAACAAAAATCAGGTAATAAACAAAATGAAGACAGGGCTAGTAATTATGAGCTAAACTATTGAACTTGATTAAAAATATGCACTTATATTCTCTTCCTATATTTAAATAAATATGCATATATATATTTGCTAGATATACCTAATATCATTAGTAAATTAGAACTCTACCCTTAGCATATTGTAATCCAATAATATTGATCAATAAAAAGCATAAATATACTTGCCTGGTAGAATTGATATAAGAAAAAAGAGTTACTCCATCATTATAGCTAATGGTCACGGTGGCGATTGAATGAGGTTGGCTAGCTCCAAATCCCTTGTTCTTATCATTTACCAGGACAAGTCCAACAGCTCCTGCTTTTTTAGCTTCCATGCTTCTTAAACTGTCCATATCTCCGGCTTCATTGAGTGAATTACGACATACTACGATCTTTCCCTTCACCTTCGCTGCATCTAGGGCTGCAACATGACATGCCGTACTAAACATAGATACAATAAGATAGCAATTAATATCAATGCATATGCTTTGCTTGGTTAATTATTTACCAAACTAAAATTAAGCTTTTTTATGTAACTCACGCATCTTTGATATTAGCGATAGTACTGCGAGCCTCTGCACCACTGATCAATGGATAGAGTTTATTAGGGTCATTTGTCTTTGAATCCATAAAGCGTACTCCCTGTAATCGTTTAAAACATACATTACTTGCTACAATAATCACTAGATTCATATGCACGCGAATAATCACTAAATTCATATGCACGCGATGCATGTGTTAGATTTTTAAATTTATGTACACCAGCCACTTTATTAGATTTTTATACTGTAAATCTATGTTACTCACTTATGTTTCTCACAGCGGCAGTTTCGTAAATAAAATGTACCACCGTGACTAAAGTGGTACAATTTTATCATCCATTTTTTATACCACCCTGAACAATTTCGCATCATCGTGACTAAAGTAGTACATTTTATTTACGAAACTGTCACTGTGAGAAACAAAAATGTTTCTCACAGTGAGTAATGGGGCGCACATTTTTATATGCATGCTTTAGATTCTAAAATAATATGCATTTTCTCAACTAAAAGTTACTTGTTACATGGAAAAAAACAAATGAATTAGTTAACGAACCTTGATCTTCTGATTGTTACCGAGTTTGACATAAGCCGAAAACTCTCTATCCATAGTACTAGCAGCAACAGTCAACAACCAAGGGGCTACATTTTGAACAGACCCAGATTTAGGTCCATTATTTCCAGCACTAGCAACCGTGATGATTCCTTTCTTCATAGCATGGAAGGCTGCAACAGCAATAGCATTGCTAGCTAAATAATCATCATCATTATCCTGACTCATCGATACATTAATGACATCTACATCGTCGTCAATGGCAGATTCAAAAGCGGCTAGTAAATCCATTGAGTTGCCTTGGAATGGAAAAGTTTCAGTAGCATGCCAAGCATTTTTGTACGCAACCACGCGTGCCCTTGGTGCCACGCCTTTCGCAGTCCCATTTGCTAATCCGTTGCAGCTTGCTCCAGGGACAATATTACCTCCGGCTGTAGATAGAGTGTGTGTGCCATGCCCTTCATTGTGATCTCGAGGGCTCAATGTATCATTGAAGATATAGTTATTTAACTTGCCTTGTTCCATAATTCCTTTGTAAAAATATCTTGCTCCTATAAGCTTCCTATAATTATTACCCATTAGTTAGCTTCCTATAATTAATTACCTATTAGTTAGTCTTATTTGCCTTTTATATCCTTCATTTTTTGCGAGTGCATTAGTTAACAAAAGGGTATTATTTGAAGACATAAAAAATTTCTACTCAAAATAACATGGTCTTATATTATACATTGACAAGCTGAAACAATAGCATGTAAACATTATTATTTCGAAGCAACAAAAGTATTATTTCATTAATAGACTAGAAATAGTATATTAACAACCTGTTGCACTTAAATGTTGGATCATTTTCATTTGCACATGCCCCTTTGAATTTTTTCGGAACAAGGCCAAAGCCTTGATCTGAAAAGCTCTGGCTCTCTGGCCACGCACCTGTTACACATTACTATTGAGTTTAATCATTCTGGGATAATCAAAAGCTTGTTATTTTTAAAAGACTGGATAATATAGGTGGCATTATACATGATAATTTATCTATTAGATGTTCGTAAATAATGAATTGTAGTAAAGGTGTTAAGTAGGAACTTTCAAACGGGTATTAATAATGTTGAAGGGGTAACAATAGTTACTCCGCATAAATAATTTTGTTATCCCCTAATATAGTGTAATTAGAATTATAGAATGACCTTATATTAGTTAATTTTTGTTCTCAAATATCTAAATAGAGAAACATGCATGTAAGAGAAGTAAAACTTGTACTTGCCGGAATCCAAGTTTGCTATAATCATGCCATCTCCGAAGCTTGCTTTCACCCAAATGGACTCATCAGTTTTATAGTTGTTAAGTTGATTCGGAAATCCTAAGAAATCCACTGATCGAGTTGTTAACAACTTTAGTGGCTGGCTTTCCATTATTGATGCAACAGTAGGGTGCTCTGCAATAAAACGATAAGATAAGATACAATTAGGGTGAAGTGAACCGTATATAAGTTCTAACTATAGCTAAAGATTGTGTTAGAGCCTTTCGCTCTGGGTATGAAGGGCCCATATCATATCCACATTTCAAGTTCATGTGAGGGGGCGTGATAGAGTATACAACATATTTCTGGGCCTCTATCTTTAGCTTAAGCTTTTGGTTGTGTTGATCCTTTGACAGATTGTTTTTTACTATGTTATGTCATATGTTTTATTTGAAAAATAAAATACGTACAGTAAATGACAATATGATAGAACAATTAGGTTAACAATTTAATCATAAATTTGTTGCATAGAAAAATTAATATTTTTCCTTGTATAATTAAGATAAATCCAACTAATGAAGCTAAAAAAAAAAAAAAAAAAAAGACATGACTATGGACTGTTAGTTTTTCTTATTTTAATAGTATTTTATTTAATTTTTGAAAAAATAAAATAAGTTATGGAGTAAGATAAAATTACCTAAGAGAATAAATCAAGAAAAAATAAGTAAAAAAAAATGTTTAGGCAAAATAATTTTAGAAAAAGTTAAATCAATTAGTTCAAAATAAGTTTTTTTTTTTTTAGAAAAAAAAAATTCAAAAATAATTTTGACTGGATAATGACAAAATTACCTAAGAGATATATTCGAACAAAATAGTATTTATAAACTGTTACAAAATTAGTTGTTCGATAAAAGATGTACATTTGTTATAAACTTGCCTTAAAATGAGCAAAAGTTATCCTTGAAATAAAATAATAGTTACCCTAGAATAATGAATAAAATTCCCTCGAAAGAGAGGGTTAGGTTCTCTTTACTAGTGTAGGGTTTTGTTGCCGCTTCTTGACGGTTGCGCTACCATTCTTGGCCTTAGGACTAGGAGATGGCGGATGAAATTACTTCGAGATATGCTAATCTCAGCCTTGACGAGGATGAGGGAGGCGTGGTGGACTTAGGTGTTGTTCCTTCAAAACGAGTAACATATTGTCAAAGCACCATGGTCGGCCGCTCAAAACCTTCTCCTTATCCCTCCAATGGAAGAATTGGAAAGCGTACAAATTAGGGCCAAGAACCCTAATTATCAGATTCTTCGACAGAGCCCAGACTTTTATCATCATATTTTTGAAAGCCTCTATGTTATACGGTCGTTCAGTGACAACCCTTCCAATAAGCATAAGGTTATATTAATCATTCAATTGTGTCGATTGAACAACACCTAAGTCCACCACGGCTCCCTCATCCTCGTCAAGGCTGAGATTAGCATATCTTCAAGCAATTTCATCCGCCATCTTCTAGTCCTAAGGCCAAGAACGGTAGCACAATTGTAGGTCCGATGATGATGTGGAGGAGCTTGTGGCATAGAGCCGGACCATGTTTCTCTATATCACTCGCCCTTTTGGATGAGAATAAAACATCTACCCTTCAATTGTAGGTCTGATGATGATGTGGAGGAGCTTATGGCAAATATTGGAGAGGTTGTCAAAATTGAGGAAGATTTATTAGGTCTCGATCAATTTTGGATAGTTAAAGTTATGATTAATGTTACGAAACCCTTGCGAAGATTTCAGAGAATTCGTGACAAATCTGGCAAGGAGGTGTGTGTTGAATTCATGCACTTATGAGCGTCTTCCTTATTTCTGCTTTGCTTGTGGTGTGATTGGACACGCGGAGCGTGACTGTGACATAGTTTCTGAAGAGAGTAAGAAAAATAAGTTAGGATGGGGAAGGTGATTGCGTTCCTTGCCTAGAGAAGGGAGGGCGAAGGAGATGGAGGAGCTTACGTCTGTGTTGGCTTATCAAAAACAATTATTTGAAACTCGAGAATCGGAGAGGGAGGAGTAATTAGAAGAGGGTGAGAAAGATAGCGAGGTAGTTGGGATTGAGCAGCCTGATCAGGGGGTGTTAGAGGTGAACAAATCTGTAGAGTAGGGGGTTGCGAACGAAGATAGTGAAGAGTTATTAGTGCTGCCTGAACCTATGCAAAGTAAGGGGTTAGATGCGGGGCGTGGGGAGTTGTGCAGGGGGCTGTATCATCTTCAATTTCAGCATTAGAATTTGTGATGGGGGTGAGTGGTAAGAGTTCAAAAGGGGCAAGGAAAAAAGTGAGGAAAAATTGCTCAGAGAGGGTTGGTGATAGATGCTTTATGGAGGTTGAGGCTAGCCCGAGTTTGGGGAAGAGGGTTAAAAAAGAGAGTGGTGATGAGATGGTAGGATTGTAGTCGAATATAAAGAAACAAGCGGTTCCTGTCACTTTATCTGGATTGCGGGAGGCGGAGGCTGTCGATGAGCACGCCGCCGAGCTCCATGAGTATTTTGAGCTTCAACTATAGAGGGTTGGGCAATCCCTCTTCAGTTTTTGGACTCCGAGATATCATCCGGAGGGAGGCCCTGTCTATGGTGTTTCTATCAGAGACGAAGCTTAGTGGTGTTGAGTTCTGTAGAGTTAAGGATAGTGTTGGAGATTTTGATGGTCTTACATACGGTGGATTTGATGGGTAGGTCAGGGGGTCTTGCTTTGCTTTGGAGGAAGGGATTAGCCATTCATTTGCGCACGATGTCTGTTCATCACATTGATGTTGACGTTTGAGGAAGGGTTGGTGATGAATGGTGGATGTTGACGGGGTTTTATGGGTGGCCAGAAGTGGGTAACAGACATTTATCTTGGAGTTGCTTCAATTGTTAGCCACACAGTCCCATCTTCCCTGGATGTGTATAGGTGACTTTAATGAGATTATGTTCCCTTCCGAGAAGCTTGGTGGCAATGACAGGGCGGAGTGGTAGATGGTGAATTTTAAGGAGGCTGTGAATAATTGTGGGCTTTGAAATTTTCCGTTTACAGGATATGAGTTTACATATGATAATGGTAGAGATGGTATTGAGAACACTCAAACCAGGCTTGATCGGGCATTGGCTACAGATGGTTGGATAGATGTAATTATTTCCAGATGCTCACTTGGTTCATCTCGATAGGGAATGGTCGGATCATGCTCTGATAAAATTAATTTTATGGAGTAAAAATTCGGATGGTGGTGACAAACCGTTCCAGTTTGAGCAATTTTGGTAGTCGGATGGGTCTTGTGAAGGGGTAATAGAAGGTGCGTGGTTGGGTGGCTTGTCTTTGGAGTCAAAACTTACTCTTTGTGCGGAGAATTAGAAGCCTTGGAGTTCGAATAAATTTGGTGAGACCTTCAGAGAGTTACGAAAAAAAATAAAAAAAAAAGCTTAGTAAAGGGGGGCTCATGGCTGATCAGGTGCAGCAAAGGAAAAGCCTGTTCGTGAAATAGCGGGGCTAATACAGCATGAAGAAGTGTACTGGAGACAGCGCTCTCGGGTTCTTTGGTTGACTGAAGGTGATAAGAATACGATGTTCTTCCACTAGCGAGCTTCAAGCAGAAAGCGTAGGAACTCCATTCGAAGAATTACGGATGATGAGGGGGTAGTCCACGGTGGTGATGAGTGTGTAGGTGCTGTAGTAGTTGCTTATTTTCGGAGCTTATTCACATCATCGAATCCTTCGATGATTGAGCAGGTCTTGAGTACTTTTCAAAGTAGAGTTACTGATGAGATGAATGCAAGCCTGAGAGCGGAGTATACGGCTGATGAGGTCAAGATGGATTTGAGTCAAATGCATCAGGCTCCGGGCCCTGATTGTATGTGTCCTGTATTTTTTCAGTCGTATTGGCATATTGTTGGTCTGTCGGTCACTAGTTTTGTTTTAGCTACATTGCGTGGTGCCTTAATTCCAGCTTTTTTGAATAAAACTTTTATAGCCTTGATTCCGAAGAAAGATAATGTTGATCATATGTTAGATTTGAGACCGATTTCATTGTGTAATGTGGTCTATAAATTGGTGTCGAAAGTTTTGGCTAATAAATTGAAGATATTTTTTAATAGTATATTTCTGAAAATTAGAGTGTCTTTACCCCAGGACATCTGATTACTGATAATATTCTGGTAGCTTTTGAAATGTTCCATCATATGAAAAATTCGACGTCGAAAAATGGTAGTATGGCCTTGAAATTGGATATGTCAAAGGCGTATGATAGGATCGAGTAGTACTTTCTGGAAGCAGTGCTTGATAAATTTGGCTTTGATAGTGCTTCGAGCGGTCGGGTGATGGAGTGTGTTCGACCGGTTTCGTTTTCAATGTTGATTAATGGCTGGCCTATTGAGGAGTTCTCTCCGGGTCGAGGGTTAAGGCAAGGGGACCCAATTTCACCGTACTTATTTATTTTGTGTGCTATAATTTTTTCTCATCTTCTGCGTAGTGCTGAGGAGGTGGGAAGTCTACGTGGTATTCGGGTTGCTCCTACATACGGCTCCGGCTATTAGCCATCTTTTATTTGCCGATGACTGTATTATTCTTTTTAGAGCAGCCGAGAAAGATATTGAGGTAATTCAGGGAGTGCTTGAGGATTATGAGTTGTCTTTCGGGCAAAAAATAAATTTTGATTAGACAACGGTTTCTTTCAGTAAAAGAGTTGTGAATGCGAAGAGGGTTGAGTTGGCTGCTAAGATGGGTGTTCAACAGGTTGATGTTCATGATAGGTACCTTGGTTTGCCTACGTTACGGTGGTAGGGAGGTCAAAAAAAGTGATCACCAAAGGCATCAAGGAGAAGTTATGGAAGAAACTCCAAGGATGAAAGGGGATGTGCTTTCTAAGGCGGGTAGGGAGGTCATGATAAAGGCGGTGGCCTAATCTCTTCCTACCTATGCGATGAGTGTTTTTAAATTTCCATCGTCTTTTTGTTATGAGTTAAGATCCTTGGTTGCTCAATTTTGGTGGGGTAAAAAACAGGGCGATAGGAAAATCCATTGGTTAGCTTGGAGGAAGTTGTGTCGATTGAACAAGGATGGGAGGGTTGGGGTTTAGGGATTTTAAATTGTTTAATTGGGCGTTACTCGGGAAGCAAGCTTGGAGGTTAATTATACAGCCGGGTAGTCTGATTGAGCGTGTCTTTCGTGGTAAATACTATCCCAACTCGAATTTTTTAGAAGCTCGGTTAGGGGCTTTGCCGAGTGTAACTCGGAGTGGGATATTTGAGGCAAAGTGGGTTGTTAATAGAGGTTTGAGATGGCGTGTGGGAAATGGTGATAGTATTAAGGTGTGGGCGGATCCTTGGATTCCGAGCACACAAACCCGAAAGGTTATCTCTCGCCGTGGCAATATTGATGAAAATATGAGAGTTGCAGAGCTTATCGACATAAATTCTAGAAGTTGGGATGCCTAAGCTTGTTGACCAGATTTTTCTCCCGTTTGAGCGTGAACGAGTTTTGAGCATACCTATCAGTCATAGATTTCCTGTTGATGAAGTTTGTTGGGATTTAGAGAAGGATGGTTATTACTCGGTTGGATCGGCTTATAGAGCTATATCTGATGATGGTTGGAGGAGGGAAGAAGAGGCACCTTCAGGGAGGAGGTACTTATGGAATAAAATATGGAGCTTGAATATTCTGCCTAGGGTCAAGATCTTTGCTTGGAGGGCTTGCCAAGATGCCCTTCCAACTCGTAGTGGCATCAATCGGAGGGTTCGGGATTATGTTCCTACTTGTAGTATCTGCCAATGTGAGGATGAGACGGTTATTCATGCTTTGGTTAACTGCAAGCTTGCTCGCGCCAGCTGGAATTCGAGGAAGTTTCAGAATCTTGACTTGCACAATTTTCATTCAATTGTGGATTGGTGGGAATATTGTTTTGGCGAGGTTGGTGAGGAAGAGATGGAGGATTTGATTACTCTCTGCTAGGCGATTTGGGGGGCTCGAAATAAGTATGTCATGAAGGATGTGAGGCTGAACCCTGAAGGGACTGCTAGCTATGTGCTACAGACAAGCTGTGAAGCTAGGGATGAAGGTGAGAAGGCTCATAAGGGGGGGGGGGGGTTCGTTTGATGGGTCTGCTCATCCTACTACTTGGCAGCCTCCACCTGCTGAGTATTATAAGATAAATGTCGATGCAGGGGAGCTTGGTGCAGGGGGATCAGGGCTTGGGGCTGTTGTGAGAAATAGCGTGGGTGAGGTGATTGCTTGCGCGACAGTGCATGGGGCAGAGAGGTGGGATCCGATCGTTGCTAAGGCAAAGGCAATGTATTGAGGAATGCAGCTAGCTAGAGATGAAGGATTGAGAAGAATTGTGGTGGAAGGTGATTGTTTACCTGTGATTGAGGCATTGTGTGGGCGAACGAGAGGCTCCAATGCTTTTCATTTAATTATTGATGATATTTTAGATTTTTGTTCTAGTTTTGAGAATTGTTCTTGGTCTTTTGTTAAACGAAGTGGGAATAAAGTGGCACATGATTTGGCCCATTTCCAACCATGGGAAGTCGGTTGGAGAGTGTGGAATGATGTGATCCCAGAGTTTGGATGTAGTTTCGAATGATCTATTAATATAAGCCTTTCGTTGGTTTGTTTAAAAAAAAAATAAAAAAAAATAAAAAATATAGTAACCCTAAATCAATTTTTTTAAAAGAAGTTACCGCTAAATTGTCTAAAAGTTGCTCTAATAATAATAATGTCTTATATACAAACTCTTATATAATTTAAGTTACGTTCAATAATACATTATTAGACAAAATCAGACGAGACATACGTATATGATATATCTTAAATTCTTAATTATAGTCTTACTTGCGAGTTCGGTGGCCTCCTCTTCATGAAGGTTTGCAGCAAAGGCATTGAATATTTTATTATATGAATAAACAATCCTTTCTGAAGGGTTGAAATCACTATTCAATTTAAGAATATATATTAAAAAAAAAGTGGGCAAAATAATGTGAGGATTTTAAATAAATGAGGAATAAAGCCGCCCCGCCCCAGCAGGCGGGTTGGTTCCTCTGTCGTCACCGGGGAGCTCTTGGCGAGGAGACCTTAGGATAGGTTGCTAAAATAAAACAAACGGGAGGATTTTGGTGGCCGCTGATTCGCACGAAGCTGGTCCCTCTGGGGAAAAGGCGTGTATTCAAAGTTTCGTGTCCAGTCCGCTCTGTACCTGCTAATGTTCCTGGCAAAATACATGTCGAAATCTTTACTTTAGGTTGATTACAAGCTGTGGTGCTCCGTCTTTTGGTTCGTTGTTGGCTCAGGTTTGGTTCAAACTAAAAAGAATGAAAGGTGCAATTCATGATGTGAGTTCGTAATAGTCTCTGGGCTCGCTGACAAACGAGGTTCTGCATGGTGAGATCCTAAATGGATAACGTAGTGCTGCATTTGCGTGAAAACAATGACATGCATTAGATTTTTCATATACTTACCTCCATTTTATTAGTAACACATATTCCTTTTTAGTAAGTTTATTTTTAGTTGATATGTTTTCTTTTTGTGTAAGTTTTATACCTTGCTTTTCTAGTGTACCCCACTTACTTTATCATTCTCTCTCATTCTCTCTCCTCTCTTTACTATGTGTGCCTAAATTAAACGCGTCAAACTAAATATAAACGGAGGGAGTACATGGTAGTCATCCGTAGTGATAGTATATAAAACATATTTCTGGGCCTCAACCATAAGCTTGAGTATGATAGAGTATAAAACATATTCCTGGGCCTCAACCATAAGTTTAAGCTTTTGGTTAAGATGGTCCGTAAACATGGTATCAAGAGCCACATGACACAAATTAAAGGTCACGGGTCCGAATCTCATCCACCCCTCCTTTCAAAGTGGAATTAACAGGGTATGAGGAGAGTCCATGCTGCATCCACACTTCAAGCCCAACGGGCTCTCGTGTGAGAGGGCGTGATAGAGTATAAAACATATTCCTAAGTCTCAACCATAAGCTTAAGCTTTTGGTTGAGTTGGTCCTTTAACACGTAAAAAAATTTATATACACTCGGGTGTACCGTACACCTAGGGTCATTTGCTCATTTAATCAACAAATAAGCAAATGACCCCAGGTGTACAGAACAGGCTCTCAAAAATCAAAAATCAAAAATAAATCAAAAATCAGCCAATAAAAAATTGGTATAATGGTAGTCATTTTAGGGATGACTACCATAGAATTTTCACATATCTTATGTAAAACAAAGCTAGTGGAAAGAAATCTATTTCGTAGTAAATTTGTTGTCAATTTTCCAACTCATATTTAGTACTTATTATTGTGTTTTTTCAATTAAATGTCTTTGAAAATGCGAGTTCAAAAGATAATGTATCGTCAAATATTGTATGAGTGTTCCTTTTTTTCCATCGTTTGTTATGTACACATTTTTAGCCATTAAGATTTTTCTCTTTAAGTTTCTTTTTTTTTTTTTTTTTTTTTTTTTTTTTTTTTTTTTGCATAAAAATTTATAGAGTTATTTAATATGTATATGTAACTGTTTCAAACTATGCACTCTTTTGTAAAAATTCCATTTTTTTTAAAAAATTATATTTCCAAATTATGATAATTTGTTTCCATTTACATCTCATAAATCATAAGTCTTACTCATGTAGTAAGTAGTAACCAATACCAATTATTTTTAGAGAAAGAGTAACATAAGCCATAGGGAATTACTAGTTATTAAGTATCTAAGAGAGCATAAAGCATTAAGAAAGATAAACATATGGTATCGGATCTTAGATATCCCATCCGATTCAAAATAGCAACATAAATAAGAAACGAATGGAGTACTAGATTAAAATAGCTTTTGGAAAAAAATAAACGACGAAGCACATTAAAGACTTGCCTTAGGGGCAGCAAAGGCAGGAACTTGCCACAATGACAAAAGAAGAATTGTTAGGACGAAGTCATGTGAATGCATTGAAATCTGCATTGTTTGATAGAGTATGAAGCTTTTTTTTTTTTTTTTTTTTTTCTAGTTTTCTTTTTCCTTTGTACTAGATCAAATTTGAGAATGCATGGAAATCAATTTGTTGTTTTCTCTTTGAAACTCGAATTTCTCTATTTGTTGATTAGCAAAAATATTCGTTATAATAATTTGCTTTGCCTTAATTACATAATGTTTATTAGATGGTTGATTAATTAGCAAATTTTATATGAATTCTTACAAGTGGATGATTCTTATACTGCAAAGACATTTTAACCTATTCTTCACTTTATTATTATTTTTTTTAAATTCAAACAATTTTCCTAACATAGTTACATATTTAGTTGGTATTAAATAAATGTGAATGTTATTTATTGTTATAAATGGCTATAGAGCTAGCTATATATAGAGTTTGTTATGGGAGAATACTAGCTAGTGCATCGAATGGGCCAAAAGACTAGTTATTTCTCATAGATTATTTTTCTTGAGGTGTGTTTTTTAGAAAATGAAACACATCGGTTATTTTTTTTTTTTTGACAAAATAAAACACCTCATTTTGTTACTTAAATTATGCAAGTTATGGAATGCGTAGAGTCTTTAACCGTTTAACATTATATAATCTATATTAAGTTAGTGGAACTGCAAAAGAAATAATGTTAATTACATGTAATGAATCAACTTTATTGACGATTTTAATATAAATGTATTATAAAAAAAATGAAAAAAAAAATAAAAAAGTTTAATGATGAGTGTGACATAATGTGGCGCTATTGGTTTATGTGATGGTTTGTGTTATTATATACTTCATCCGTTTTTAAATACTTGCAACACAACATTGTGATACGCACTTTGAGGTCGAGATTATATAATGTAAGTGACCATATCAATCAAAATGATTTTTACACATGATATCTAACAAACCCTTCTCTAATCCTAGTGTTAAAATAATTTTGAAAAAAAAATCGCTCATTTACTTTTACTAGTCGTCGCCTAAAAATGCGTGCCTAAAAGTTATGTTGCGAGTAAAAGAAAATAAAGGAAGTACTGTAGTAAGTATAGAATATAGAAATACGGAGTAGATAGGTTAGGTCCCGTGCCATGCACGGTACGTTATTTTAATTACTTTTGAACAAAATTGTTTAATATCTTGAACAAAATTGAAGTAACATGGAATATTTGATCAAGATCATATTCATAAAAAAATATTCTACCAAAAATACATCTTCTTGAAAAAGATTATATATTTCCTTATTATTCCGTGATTAATTGAGTATCAACATAAAAATGGTAAATATTATTGCTTATTTATATAGTTGACAAAAACAGACTTTTTTTTTAAAAAAAAAATAACTTCCTTAAATAAAATTTAGTAATTAATTATTTAAAAAATATACTAAGAACACATCAGAAATCGACACGTGTCATTGCTGGTGTGTCTTTTAGTATATATTCATTGATGTTAAATCTAATTATGTCATCCACTAAAGAATTTCAATAAACAACGGACCGGGCCCACACTAAGATGGGTTTGATTAGGATTTAAGTTACAAGCGTACATGATGCTGTGTCTGCATTTATTTATACACATCAAATTATCAAAGCGTATCCAATTTTCCATGCATGCCATGCAACTTTATTTAACCAAATTTGTAACTAAATGTACATTGATGACAATTACATTGAAACGTTTGGGGCCTATACACGGATGCGCTATATATAAGGAAGCTTCAATTCAGATTTTAGAAACACAAAAGATAGTTAAATTTCAACCAAGACATACTCAACCAATATTATTCTTCAACAATTGGATCATGGCTCGCAGAATAATTCAACATTTTTTGGTTTTTTCTGAGTGAAACCACAATGTGTACTCCCATTCGTACTCATGCTCCTACTCCTACTTCTATTATCAGTAATCGTTCGATAAATATCAGACATCAATATGATGCTCAGCTAGCCTGAAAACGAGTTGAAGTTGTATAAGTATAACGCTTATATCTTAATTGATCAGTGATCTTATACATGTATTAGTGCATGATCGAAGATTGTTCTCACTATAAATGTGAAAAAAAAAAAAAAGTACTTGCATACATAGTTTGTATTTGTTCCCACGCACAATTTCATTTGATATAGAAATCATAGAATCTATTGTATGGGATTGACGATGTTTATGTACATGTAGCTATATTATGATATACAAGATATATATACAACATATGCCAAATGTACCAATTCTCCTTTTGCTAGACCTTCGTATAATATAAACTTTTTATCACCGAAGAGGTCAAGAGAATTTTACCTACTTTCTTGTTCTTTCACAAATAATAAATATATAAGAGTAACAACATTCGTTGCAATATAAATATTTTTGGTATCTTATTTCAGCCCTAGGCATGATTTGTGGTTGCGTGCCTATACATAATACATCTATCAAACATGCAGCAAAACCATCATCCAGCTTGCGCTGATTAAGAATAATTGGACTAATGCAATCTAACTCATGGTCCAATAACTAGTAATTAGCGTTCCTAATTAGCAATGAAAGTACATAAAATAAGAAGTGTACATCCTGCGTTCCTCTCATACAAAAGCAATGGAGGAGTAATAAATTATACTCCGTAAAACAAAATTTGGTACTTTCTCTAGCTTCATTTGGCCTTGATCACAATAGGGCTTCTTACAACATGTTTAGCGTCAGACCAAACCAAACTTCCGAATTTGTAAGAATGGTGTTTGCTATATGCCTTCTGTTGGTAGATTAATTCAAACTTAGTTGGAGTATTTTTAGGAATACTGTTTTTAGTGTTTCGGTTAAGTATGCAGTGGAGTATTTAGTTGTTGTTAGTGGGTCAAATTATAGTTGCATGAAAATAGGATATGGTGGATTATGCTTCCATCATTTTAGCTTAGTTGTTTATCAATTATTCTCTATTTAAGTAGTGCAGTACGTTTGTTTGTGGTTGTGCAGTGAATAAAATCAGTTTTGTTTCTCCATTAATATTATTCTTCTGCTGTAGTATTGGTTTCAACACCTTCATCATGGTTGTACTGTTATGAGAACGCGAGCAAATGAAGTTCAAGTGAATAAAATCAGTTTTGTATTATGCCTTGAAAAACAGAATTCTTCATGAACTTGATACATTATGCTATTCTAGAATAATAAAACTCATTGCCTAAACTGAATTTAATTTACAATTGTTCGAATTTACTATTAATTAGAACATAAATATATTAATATTTCAAACAATAATATGTTTATACCAGGGCACTATACTACATGGTCTTTTAGTGGAGGAGCAAGTCCAGACTATTGGGCAAAACTTCAGGCTTGGTGTACTTTTGGAGAAACAACTGCAATTCGACGAATCTGTCCTGCAACCGGTGAAACTGGCTGAGCCTGAGTTCAAAGAAATATCAACAATTGCAGCAGCTCATTTCTTGGATGAAATATGTGGTATGATAAATTAATATCAACAATCGGCTTCAATGGAGAACTCTGAGTGCGCTTCAATGGAGAACTCTGAGTGCGCTTCAATGGGGAACTCTGATTGCGCTTCAATGGAGAAGAGAGAAAGGTGGGCGAAATAACAGAGGAGAAGAGAGAGAAAATGGAAGTGAGAGCTAACCCTTAACCATTATTATTGAGTTTTTTATTTTAATTCTTAAATTATTGGGCTTTAATTGAAACTCTATAAAAGCCCTGTCCATTAAAAAACTAAAGGGTCAAAACCTTTAGTATTAGGCCCGACCATTTTGCCATTAGGTAGCCCTACCCAATAACCACCCCTAGCTGCAGTACTCCAATTAGGGTGTAACTTTTTAATAAGAGCTGCAATGCCAATGACATGAGGAGATGACATCGATGTTCTGGATCTCATAATGTATGGAGCATTCGCAATATTCGGAGGAGAAGCACCCAGAATATCTACGGTTTTACTTACCAAAAACCATCGCAAATCAACAAGGGTTAAAAAAACCGTCATAAATTATAGAAAACCGTCGTAGAATTCAAATATTGCGACGGTTTAAATAACCATAGTAGAAAAGCCATTGTAATTTGACTGCTTCTTAGTAGTGTAAGAGCTTACAATGTATTAGAAACAGGATCTAGAAAGAGTAACTTATGGGATCGAAGTACCTTGGTTCCCCCCAAATTCTAAATAAGGACATCAAACATAAACGGAAAGAGTACTAACTTAATAAAATAAAAAAATAAAAATAAAATAAAAATAAAAAAAACCAAATTTCTCATAAAGGAATTGAAGGATGTAGCAGGTTGAAAAGAAGACGAGTTGCCTTAGGGGCAGCAAAGGTAGGTACTTGCCACAATGAAAAGAGAAGAATTGATAGGAAACCATGTAAAATCATTGGAATCTGCATTTTTTTTAATCGAGTATTACAGCTCTTTCGTTCTTCTCTTCTAGCCTCCTTCCTTTTGTACTCGATCAAATTTGAGAATGCATGATATTAATTTGTTATTTTCTTTTTAAAACTCAAACTTGTTTAGGGCTTTTTTTTTCTTTTTTTTTTTTTTTTTTTTTTTTTTTTTTTGAAAGATCAAACTTGTTTAGATGGTTTATTCACAAAAACTTATTTTATTTTAATTTATCTAACATAATATTTAAATCATTAGTTAGAAAAAAAAACTTAATAAATTATTACAAGCGGATGTTTCTAAGACTGCAAAAACGTTGTCAACTTTATTTTAACTTTCCTTTATTTTAATCCAAATAAAATTCATAACCTAGTTCCATCTTCCATATTTAGTTGGTACTTAATTAATGTGATTATTAATAATTGATATGAATAGCTATAGTACTATTTAGGTTCGTGTTGGATGTTAAATTCACTCAAATGAATGTCTCTCCTCGAAAATCTCTATGTTGCACACTTGCATGAGTCGAAGGCATAGAATAAGGGATTTGTTAAACATCGCCCGCAAATTACTACATAAAGCCCACAAAATTAATATGATTTGACAGTTTTGCCCCTTTGTCAATTTTCTCTGAAAACGAAAATTTCACTCACCGGAAAATGTGGAGTCGTACGGGGACGCCGGGGGAGGCCGGAGATCCGGGGGACGACGAATGTCATCGGAAAAGATGGTTGGCGTCCGGAGGAGCCGCCACCACTGTGGCAACGGCGCCTGGCCGGGACGCCGCCACCATGGCGGTGGCGCCTAGCCAGGACGCCTAACCATGGTTGAAGCTCCAGGCGCCATGACCATGGTACTGGCGTCCCGGCTAGGCGCCACCACCATGGTCTCGGCGTCCCGGCCAGGCGCCGGTTCCAGGGTGGTGGTCTGGCCATTTTTTTTTATTTATTTACATTTAACTTGCTTAAAATTCAAAATAAAAAATTTTCCCAGTTACCAACAAAAAAAAACAAAATATTAAAAAAAAAAAGAAATTTTTTTTTCTCAATTTCCAACAAAAAAAAACACAATATTACCCCAAAAAAAAGAAAACAAAAAATTATCAATTTCCAACAAAAAAAACATGATATTACACAAAAATAGAAAAAAAAAATCTCAATTTCCAAAAAAAAAAAATTTATACAAAAAAACAAAAAAAAATTAAAAAAAAAAATAACAAAACAACCACGACAAAGTGGTGGGGCGCCTGGCCAGGACGGCTGATGGCTGCTGGTGGCGCCAGGTCCGGCAGCCACGTCCACCGGCTGGGCGTCCTGCCCAGACGCCAAGCCGGTGGACGTGGCTGCCGGACCTGGCGCCACCACCACCTTGCCGCCACGAGCCACCACCACCTTGCCGCCACGAGCCACCACCACCTTGCCGCCACGAGCCAACCACCTTGCCGCCACGAGCCTCGACATCCCCGTACTTTGATTTTTATTGATGTTTTTTTTTTTAAGGTCAAGGGCAATATTGTAACTTCAATATAAGTTTGCGGGCTTTATGTGGAGATTTGCGGGCGATGTTTAGCAATCCACTAGAATTATTATCCTTCAAATTATAAAGTTATGTCAAAAAAAAATCATAAAATATTAGCCATCAGATGTTTTGTAATAATGACAGGCAAATGAAGTAAAAAAAAAATACATTGCAAATTAATACTTGTATCTTTAATAATGAATTTTACAAAAATTATTAAAAGTGTAGATTACAGACGATTCCAAATATCATTCGAATCACATAACTATAATTTTGTATATATTAAAGATAATCTTTGTTCAAGTTTATAAAGTTTTTAAAATTTGACTATAAAACCTAAAATGAGCATTATATTATGGGACGAAGGGAGTAAAAGCATTCTTTGCAAGCCTAATTAATTCTGCTAAACCAGTCATCATTAATAAGGGGTCATTTGGTTCGCAAAGGGAAAAGGGAATGACTAAAAGAAAGGGAAAGAAGGAGAATGGAAAGTAACTCCCTCATTTATCATAGGTTGTTTGTTTTACTTCAAAAGAATTGAATCAATTTTATGAGTACCAACTGCATAGCCAACAACCAACTCCAGCCCCCCTCTCCTCTAGCGACGCCGAGCTCCCCCACTCCCCTTTGTCGGCCTCCACCGTACCCTCCTTGCCGGCGACCTACTCCCCAGCCTTCTCTGCAACACCGCCGCCCCTCCCTCGTCTACCCGCCGTACCGACTCCATTGCTATATGTCGATGTCCTCCCTCTTCTCTCTCTTTTTTAAGTAATCTTTTGGTAGATCTAGTAGGTTGTTTGTTAATAGAGTGTTACGTATTATTTTTTTGGGTGTCTAGGGATTGTTTATGCGATGGTTCGTTATGGGTTATTTTATTAGATGGTCAAGGTTTTTTGGTGGTTTTGTGATGGTTTTTGTGGTGGTTGTGATGATTTCGTGGGTAAAGGGTGGTGAACGTGGTAGGTGAGAGTTATATCGAGTGGAGTTGGGTAGTTTGGGGGAAGATGGTTTGTTTTCCGGTGCATTTGGGTGGTTTTGGGTAGTTTCGGTGGTGGCTGGGTGGTGGCGTCAGTGTGTCGGCGATTTTTTGGTGGCTAGGCGGTGGTTCTAGTTGTGGTTGGGCGGTGGTGCGGTGGGCAGTTGTTTCGAGGGTGGTCAAGATAGTTAAAAAGTTGGTCAAGGTAGTTGGGTGAAGAGGAGTTTAGGGGTTAGGGTGATTCCCATGGGGGGAGGGGGGTGGGGAATGAAAATAGAGGAAAATGGAGTAATGGAAGGGGTAAAGAGAATGATTGAATTTGTCTATCAAACATCAACAAAGAGAATCATGGCAGTTGATTCTCTTTCCCCCAACCAAACGGCCCCTAAATATATTGGACGACAAAACCCTTCTATTCTCTAGTTATCTCGATGATCGTTTATATTTTTTTTCCTATAAATTTCAGAAGTAGCACGTGTTACCCTAGACCCCAACTTAGGTCTCCCTATGTGCAACTACAATAGCCTAAACGAAAGGGATGGCCAGAAAGAATTTTTTCCCTCCAAATTTGTTGGTCTAAATCCAGCTCAAAATATTATATGGATGGTAAACACTATGATTACAAGGTTCCGCCAAATCTTTTGCAAGGCAAGTATGAGTAAATGGTAAGAAAATTTTGAGCTCAGGATTTTGCAAGGGGCTAAAAGGAATGAATTAGAATCATCCACAGCATAGAATAAACATATCCCGCAGCATCTCCATGAAAAATAACTACTCAGTTAGTTCCAGACTCTCACCTTCAAGCTCAAGTCTTCGTGTGACCCTACTACAATTAGGCTATGCAGGCCGGCAGCAAAACATAGGCCTGTACGCTGCGTATAAACATAAGAGCAACAGACAATATAGCTATAACAACTAGTGAGTGACCGATGCGTATTTAAAAGTTGCAGTGTTTAGCCACAATCTATCAAAATTTTCCTTTATTGATTATTGGACACTCATCAATAATATACCCATTGAATTTGATTTATAGAACAATAAAAAGGCAGTATCTCTCGAACCATTTCCATTTAATTATTGAATATCGATACAATACTTACTGCATCTGAATGAAAAGTGCTACAGAGTGCAGATGTTGCTGACAAGTTTCATGTGTCCATTCATATAACCTAAAGCCCTAAAGGTATAAAATTACTAGCAAACGGAATTTAAAAAGTGTAGCAAAGGCCTAGTCTTACCTTCGGGCTGTAAATTTTTGACGGTATTGACGTCCGGCCTAAGCACGGAATATAGCTTCAAAAAAGAGGTCGAGGTTGCCATTTCTAGCATCAAACGCCAATAGTTTCTCAAGCGCTTCCTGCATATATAGCATTGTAGTTAACCAAAGTCATGTACTGATACTCTTTGCCACAATTTTAATCTATAGCCACTACACCATTATTCAGTTCCTCACCAACACAAAGCTATAAACTGTGTTAAAAGACTCTAATACTCGTGTCTAACATGGGTGCATGACCAAGGGTTGAACGTTGAACTAGCCTACCTTATCAAAATATCTATGATTTCAGTCGAAAATGACAAGTCAAACATTCATAATCTTGCCAGCATATCAAGGATCAAGGGTATTAAAGATGAAATGAAGAGTCCAAATGACATAATACTGATGAAAAGCAAAACCTGATATTGTTGATCTTGTGCCTGTATATTCACATCAGAGAGTCTCTCAACATGGTTACCCTTCCCAGTTGCATCCAGTATCTCAGCTGCTCTTTTTACAACATCATCAGAAATACCTGTGTGATGTTAACAGATACCAGGTGACTAAAAAGTGAAAATTTCACTCCCTGAACCCACGCAGATCACCGCAAGAAAGCAGGAAAATGTACAACCACAGAAATAGTGAAAGAGTATACAATGCATCTATTGTTGTGACAAACCAACTCTTGTAGAAAAAATGGAAGGGTAAACCTACTTCACCATGGAAATAAAAACTAAAACATACCGGCGAGCATTGCACAATGTAAACCTGCAAAAATAGAAGTTGTTTGAATTAGAAACCTTTTATATCGTACATACTCATTCAAGTTATTATAAATTAAAGAGTACTTACCATAACTCAAGTGTGCCTGCCCTGGAACTAATCTGTCATTGCATATTGAGGAAAGAATCAGTTAATACATCATCTTATGGCAAATGGAAATTAGGGTGATAAATCTTGCAATCTTCTCATCACTGAATATCTTTCAGAGGGATAATTAGAAATGATTGCAAGGGATACTAACTCTTCAGACATCTTTTGAATCGCATAACTAAAATAGATTAAAGAAAAGATTCTGAACAGCTATAAATCCGTTTCATGATAAGACTTCATACAAACAAGTATCGTAGATAAAGACAATGGAAAGGAAATGACCAGTATGTTACGAAATGGTACCTATACAGGAACACAATGTCTTCTGAAGGCATACTGCTTTCTTCAGGTCTCAGCACACTCATAGTATAGAAGTTGATTTTTTCAGACTACACAAAGTTCAAATAAGTATCATTATTCCATTAGGTTGCCGAGAATCCATGATTCGGTTTTTACTAAGAGATTGGCAAAGAGAAAACCTTCGGCAGCAAATTCTCGTGAAATATTTCAGTCAAGTGTGTGCAAACAAAAACCTGCAAATCAAAGTCAGTGTCATGAGCTGAAACTCAAACTCCTGGCAATATTTAACATTCTCTTAACATACCAAGTCTACTTTAAAACAAAGGTGGCTTTGAACATCAAGAGTTTGTTATATATGTACAGTAATACAGAAGAACAGATCAAGACCTTCTACAAGCACAGATGGAATAGAGAAATTCATAGTTGAATCAGTGCATACGGTTAGTCAGATAATTACATTGCAGAGATAAAAAGGCAGTAACATATGTCTCAAAATTTGCTTAAATGATCAACTGTCAACAGGTTATTGATGTCATTCAGTCTGTAACCTCCTTTTCTTATCAACAGCAGGACTGATAACTTGGGTTTAAAAGTTCAACCTCTAACCTTTGGAGTATCATCATTACCAGCAAAATAGTTCACAGTTCCACCAAGAAGACCAACGCCATCTGAAACACAAAAGAAGCATTATTTATTGGAGTAGAGAGTACGCAAAAAAGCATCAATAACGTCTTAAAGCATAATATCTGGAAGAGAAAGAGATACAATTTTGAAAGAAGCTATTAAGGTTTACCTTCTGTAAGTGTGCCTTTACCGAATTCATCCAAGAGGCATAAAGATCGTGATGTAGCTTGCCTATAAAAGTATAAATTTAGATCAGAATTCCAAAGTGTACACTAGTGTAATTGTTTTTCATGATGAAGCAAAGAAGTTTAATATTTAATGGATACTTCGTATTAAAGAAAGATATTTCACCCCAAGCTTCAATTTTTATAAAAACACAGATATGATGACCAATTGACCAGTAGAGTTGCCAAAAATTGACTAGCAGTATCCAAGAAAACAATGACTATATTAGCAAGCACAAACATTACTATCAACAATTTCTCACTACTGTATACCTCAACATCAAGCCTACTTGCTGTAGATCAATCATAAATGTAGACTGTTCCGCAGCCATGAGCTTGCTTCCCATTGCACAAAATATCCTGTCAAAGAGCATAATGTAAGCTATTACAATTTACAGCCATGACAATATGCAATCATCACATAGAGGCATGTGACCATTATAAACATACCTATCAGTTAATCCTACCACAGCAGCATCTGCAGGTACAAAACTCCCAATGTGAGCGAGGAAAACAATCAAGGCAACCTGGGGAAAAGAAAACATATGAGAGATAACTATTTTGTACAATCTATCACGCGTCTTGTGGCAGTAGAAAGTTTCCATATCCATATACATTTAGGTTGAATATGTATTTTGAATATTCTTTTTCTATACACTTCAATGAAACGTAGAAAACATACATAATACTTCATATATTCCAAATTCAGATGATTTTTACAGATAGCAAGGGTCCAAATCATATTACTTATATCTGGTAAAGTTGAAAAGGAAAAAATTACTCCACAGTACATTACAACAGTAATTGTGATCCATATGTGGCCAAACCAGTTTTAAGGTCAAAGCCAAGCCTTTAAATACTAGTTTGCATCTTAAATAAATATTCCGATTTTAATTTGGCCCTTCAATAAAAGCCAATAATAATATACACTTGCATAGTAGTACAACAACTCTTGGAAAACACAATTTACAGCAATATGAATTTCTGTTTTTTAATCAAGCCAGTCTCAAAAATCTCTTCACAACTGTGACCTTCGATAAGTATTGTTAAATTAAAATATATTACAAAAATCAAAAACAAGAAAGTGGCTAATAAAAAATCAAAAACAGAAAAGTGATAATAAAGTAACAAGATAAAGGCAAAGTTCTAATTTTCAATAGGAGAGCTTTTCGTATGTACAGATTTTGCCCGTTTTTCCACTTTAAAAATGCAATTTTCTAAGATGTGCATCTTCCTTAAAAAGTGTAAATTTAAAATCTAAGATTCAACCAAATGGCCACTTAGATTTAATCAGGAGAAGGTCTAATAAAAACAACTATAGCAACAACAACCTTATACAACTTTCCTCAAGGTTAGATTTAAGGAGGTCGAATGGTATGCAGCCTTACCCCAAGCTATTCAAAGACTAAATAGGTTTTTCAAAGAATCACACAAAGGGAGGAAGATATAAGAGTCAATTAAAAGATACATAGCAGACCTGTTTTATATAGATGCTTTTCCCAGAATAGTTTGGGCCAGTTATGATATTGATTTTTCCTGAGAAATTTGAAACCCACAATTTCAGAAATTATCCAAAATGATGACTGATGAGATAATGATTCTGATTCAGGTCAGATGAATATCAACAAAGAAAAATGACAAGAAAGCTTGGTGAAATTTGAATATTCGTGCCTTCATCAAGTAACTTAGTGTCATTTGGGATAAATGTGTCCACCGTCATTTCCTGCAAAACATGTCTGGAGAAAAGGTATTCTAATCATACACGTGTTTGTATAAATTCCTTGCGAGAATTCTTTTATAAAGAATAAATAAATCAAGATCATAAGAAGCAGGAGTATATTAGTAACCTTCCATTTTGTATATTCAGTATGGCATCAGTAGTCAAATTTGGCCTTACATACTTGTTTTGTTGAGCAACCAATGCCAAAGACAAGAAGCTAACACATGAAAACAAGAATTTGAGGTAAGAAAATTTGCCAGTGAACCAGACCGCAAAAATAACAAATTCAAAGATAAAGCTTAATGAGAGTTACCAGTCAAGTTCAGCTGCAAAGTTCATAGCTTTAAGCAAATGCGTTGAGAATAAGAGAACATGTGATATCAGGTCCCTTGTAATCACCCTCTCCATGTCTAACAAAATAAACAAAGAAAACAAATATGAAATATCCTAGAGAACATTCGCAATGAGACAGTAATGCTCTCTGTCTCATCAAATGTAATTCAAGCTGTCATTAGACTACACCATGAAAACAAGTATAGTAGAAAGTACCCAGAATTTTGTGATATATGTCCCCAAGAAGGTTATCCAACTCCCGTGTCTTTGAGGTGCGATAAAAAAAACCTTTTTGGCTCATTTTCACCATCTGAAAACTGCATTAGAGCTGACACCTCAGTCACTATAGTACTTTTGCTTAATTTTTGTAGTAACATTTTCAGTGAGATCCACTACTCTTACAGCAAATTCAAGATCTTCCAGCGTCTGTAGAGTACAATCATCAAATTTTTCATCATATTTGCACAGCAAGTATCCTGGAAAAACACACAAAGTTGTATGGCTATAAGATACTTGGAATCTCAAAGGACCAGGGAATAATATGATTGGATAGAAAAAAACATGAATATCTGGATCAGCTCCATGAAAAAGAATAAATGTCAACCTGGGATGGAATCACATCTAGCAACAAAAGCCAGCCAAAGCATTTTCTCGCAATGACACAAATATGGCAAAATATTGGAAAACAAGAAACTTTATACGGATCTCTCATTCTTTTGCTGGACAGTGGTAACAGGCTGATTTGATCAATCTTGTCCACAAATTATTTTAAAGCAAGGAAGCATATGCACTAGGTATCTAATATCTAAAATTGTAAGATATAGATGTCTCATGCATGATGTACAACCTATTTGATGTCTTAAGGAATTTAAAAGACATAATTAACCCCAGGCACGAGAGCGAAGATTGTAAACCTACCTATCTGATGTATGTAAACTATAGAGGGAACACGCTCATCATGTTGCAAATTAGGCAGTCGTGCAAGCTCCAATGATGACACCTACACATTTGAACAATTGCTTTAAAGTCGTACATGAATGTGAAAACTGCTCTGTTTGATGACTTGTTTTACAGCTACCTCTTCCAGAAGTTCAGGCAGCTCCTCGTATATTTGTCTCAGTTCATCCAACTATGAAAGAAGACGTAAATATTGATTATAAGCATCAGTTCATGGATATCACAATAAATAAAGGAATTGTTTGCTTCAATCATAAAGAAAAAGCTCTGTAGAAAAGAAAAATGCACATGAGTCCAAAGACATGGAAGTAAAATTGAAAGATCCAATAAGGAGTAAGAAGGGTAATAACACAGGCAATGCAGCAAATCAGAGATAAAGCCAATACATAGCATTCAGCATAGAAGTGAACCGCTAGAAATCTAACCTCTTCACAGAAACCCTCTTTGACAATTGTTCCATAACCTTTCTCTTTTTCTCTAGTGACATCAATGATGCCAACAACCTGCATAATCAATATTATCTTGTTCATAGACATAAAGTACACAACATCACAGAAGATTCTCTCTCTCGGGATGGACTGGGTAATTGATAAGCAGGAGTATTGAAAGGAATTAAAGAGTATTACCAGTTCATATATATAAGAGAGCTCTGTTGTAACACATGAGGCTGCCTGAAACGTAGATAAAGACAATAAACTTGCCACATCTGTTTAACGTTTAATGCATAGTAGAAATTG